ACAATGTTTATTTGTTAATGTAAGAAACTAAATGTATAGTTGTATAATTTTTTGAAAAGTGTAAACCAGCCAGGCAGAATGGCACTAGGACTCTAGGAGACTGAGGCAGGAGGATCACCAGTTTGACTCTAGTCTGGGCAGCTTAGTGAATTAGCAAGACTCTGTCTCAAAATAAAAAATAAAAAGGGCTGGGACATATAGTCCATCTTCAGAACCACCAAAATAAATAAATGAATAAAAATAAAAGTAAACCAACTCCTGTTCCCTGCACACTGCTTAGGTAAACTGACTTTTTCCTCTCGTAGCACACTTTCTTGACAGAAGGGGCTTTTCATTCTGAGGCCAGCCTCTTACCTCATCCCAGACTGGCACTTTGTTTTGTTTTTGGTTTGGATTTTTTTTTTTGTACCCAGGATCGAACTCAGGACCTTGCGCTTTCGAGGCAGGCAGGGGAACCACTGAGCTAAATCCCCGGCCCCTTGGTGTGGATTTTTGAGACAGGGTCTCACTATGTAGTTCAGGCAGGCCTTGAACTCACTATGTAGCCCAGGCTGGCCTTGAACTTGCTGCATCCTCCTGCCTCAGCCTCCTGAGTGCTAGGATTACAGGCATGTCCCACCACTCCCGGCTGTGGACTGGCACATTGATTTGGTTTTTTTGTTTGTTTGTTGTTGTTGTTTTTGTTTTTTGTTTTTTTGGGTTTTTTGGTACCAGGGATTGAATTTGGGACCTTACGCTTTTGTGGCAGGCTCCAGAACCACTGAGCTAAATCCCTGGCCCTTTTTTTGTTTTTGGTACCAGAGATTGAACTCTGGACCTGGTGCTTGAGAGGCAGGCGCCAGAACCACTAAACTAAATCCCAGTCCCTGGACTTGCACTTTGGCACTGTTTCACAGGTCTTCCAGTCCCCAAAACTTCACTTGATAGATAAGGGCGCCTTAAGAAACTCCATTTGGAGAGAGGGGGTGACTGAGCTGAGGTCAGAAACCTCCTTGGTGACCTTGCACAAGAACTGAGACTGTCCACTCTAATCTTGGCTTTTCAACGCTGGCTTTCACACTTGGGAGGCTGAGGCAGGAGGACTGCTGCGAGTTCAAGGCCAGCCTGCACTACACAGCAAGACCCTGTCTCAAGAAAACCCAGCAAAAAAAAAAACAAAAAAAAACAAAACCCAGCAAAACAACAAAAACCCTGGCTTTCTGGGTTGAGATAAGGGATGTTTCCAGAGATAGGCTTCTCCCTTCAGCCTCACGTTCTTTGGGTTAAGAACTCAGATCCAGGACCCCCCACGGGAGGGGGTGCAGGGCAGGGGGTGGGGAGAGGGGGGGGGAGAGGAGAGGAGGCGGGGGGCGGGGGAGAGGAGAGGGAGAAGCACCGCAGAGGCCCGTGCCTCAGGTCGCTCAAGGCTCCTCCTCCAGCCCTCCATGGCCCTCTGCTCCTGCTGTCCCCACACCTTACGCCCAGGGCCCGAGAGGGGCCGCCCCTCTGCCCATCCCGCTCTGCACCGCCACCGCCCCTGAGCGGCCTGGAAGGGCGGCTGGCCCACTGTGGGCAGAGATGCCACTTTTTTTTTTTTTTTTTGGCAAAACATTTATTGTACATATCACGCCCTTTCCACTTTCTGAAGCAGTTCGGAAGTCCCTTTTTGTGTTGTCACTTGCACTGCTGTGCCTGCCTCGATGTCTTACTCGAGGGAAATTGCCACGTTGCTGTAAACATTTGACCCACAAGGAGTGACCAAGAGATATGGTGAATGTTTAAAAAATTTATGACAGTACAGGATACATTGCCATTAATCCCCTCCAAAAATCCCCTGCCCTTTTTTGGCTTTGTTTTTTTGAGACAGGGTCTTGCTGTGTACTTCAGGCAGGCTGGCCTTGAACTCACTGTGTAGCCCAGGCTGGCTTCGAACTGAGCAACCTTCCTGCCTTAGCCTCCTGAGTGCTGGCATCCGGCACCACACCTGGCTATCCCCCACATTTTGAATATACTTATTGTATAATGCTTGGGGATGTGTCTTGTACTGTAATAAATTGTTTTTAAATTTAAGCATTCAACATATTTCTCAATTGCCCCTAGAATGTAGTGCAGGTTGGCCTTGAATTTGTACTCCTCCTGCCTCAACCTCCCATGTGCTAGGATTACAAGCTTGTGTGTTGTTTCTTTTTTTGGTACCGGGGCTCGAACTCGGGACCTTGCGCTTGAGAGGCAGGCGCCAGAACCACTGAGCTAAATCCCCGGCCCAATTGTGTGTTGTTTCTTAACATATCTCAGTTTAGTCACTTCCTATTAACCTCTTTATATTCATTTTCCTGCCTGGGGATGTGACTCAGAGGGAGAGCACTTGCCTAGTATGGGCAAGGTCCTGGGTTTGATCCCCAGCACTGCAAAACTAAATAGATGAGAGATTAGAAAGATAGATGGGAAAAAAGATGAGTAAATGAGTGAATGGTTTCTTCATTTATAAAATAGAATATTCAACAAATGTTAGCTATTGTAAATACTGTGAGGTTAACATTTGTCTTTTGAATATTCCATATTTGTACATCTCAAAAAGATGACATGATTCATTGAGCAGTGTTTTTTTTTTGTTTTGTTTTGTTTGCGGTTCCGGGGATCGAACTCAGGACCTTGTACTTACAAGGCAGGCAGGCGCAGCACCACTGAGCTAAATCCCTGGCCCAATAAGCAGTGTTTTAAGGATACATTTCATTGGGTGGATCATTGAAAACTATAACTTTCCAGGCGTGATGGCACATGTCTATAATCCCAGCACTCTGGAGGCTACCCTAGGCTGCATAACAAAATCTTGTCTCGAAAAAAGAGAAAGAATAACTTTCTCCAATTTCTCACTGGTGGTTGAACAATAGGTGGTAAATAACCTTTCTAAAAATTCCTAGCTTGATTATCTTATTGGAATATTAAAATTAAGGTGGTGTACCCAGAACTGGGGAGGCTGAGGCAGGAGGATCACTGCAAGTTCGAGGCCAGCCTGGGCTATATAGTGAGTCCAAGGACAGCTTGAACTACATGGTGAGACCCTGTCTCAAAAAACAAACAAACAAACAACTACGATGACAACAACAAAATTAGAGTGGTGTAGATAGCTAGTTTCGGTGTTTTTATTAGAGCAGAGTTATTAAATTTTGGATTATTTTCTCTCATAGACACTTGCTTCATACTCACTCACTTATACTCTATGGAAGGGATTGTTCCCTCCTTCCAGGGCTCAGAAGAAGCCCTGAGGCTTTCTGCTGCAAACAAAGCCCTCAGTGATGTAGTTCACACTAAAACCCTTTGTTTAATGCACTATGCATTGAGGGATAATCAGCTTTACATAATTTAGCATGTTAAGCATCTGTTGCAGTGTAGCACAGCAGGGCTGCACAGATACCTGATTATACAGGATGGAATTTGATTAATAAGTCAGACCGTGCACTGCCTTCTCTACAGTAAAGGCCGAGTGCAGCAGCCCATCCCTTCCTTGGCAGAGATCACCCAGAATGGAGAAAATACTTCCCCGGTCAGAAATGAGCCACAGTTAATATTTTTCTGGCACTATGGGAAAGCCTATTTTTGGGGGCGGGCGGGAGACAAAGTCTCGCTATTTAATTCAGGCTGATCTTGAACTCACTATGTAGCTCAGCTGGCCCTGAGTTTTTTGGTACCAGGGATCAAACTCGGGACCTTGGGCTTTCGAGGCAGGCCGTGGCACCACTGAGCTAAATCCCCAGCCCTGGCTTTTTTTTTTTTTTTTTTTTTTTGAGACAGGGTCTTGCTATGTAGTTCAGGCTCTTAAACTCACTGTGTAGCCCAGCTGGCCCTGAACTCTCTGTAATCCTCCTGCCTCAGCCTCCTGAGTGCTGGGGTTACAGGGCATGCACCACCATGCCCAGCTGGCTTCCTTATTTTTTTTTTTATAGAGCATTTTACATAGATATTAGCTTATTTTTTGTATTTAAGAAAGTCACGTACTATGGTTGCTTTTTTCTTTTGTACCAGGGATGGAAATCAGGACCTTGTGCTTGCGAGGCAGGCAAAGCACCACTGAGCTAAATCCCTGGCCCTCTAGCCCAATTTTTAAATAGAGAATTATTTTGGGTTTTAGGAGGACATAAGTTTTTCTTCTATAAAAAATATAATTTGCAGCCATGGTGTGGTGGCATACACCTGTAATCCCAGCTACTCAGATGGCTGAGGTGGGAGAATTGTGATTTAAAGCCTAGCCTGAGCAATTTAACAAGACCCTGTCTCAAAATAAAAGAAGGGCTGGGCTGGGGATTTAGCTCAGTGTTTCCACCAGCTGTCTCGAAAGCTCAAGGTCTGGAGTTCGATCCCTGGTACCAAAAAATAAAAGAAGGGCTGGGAATGTAGCTCAGTGTGAAGCTTGTGGGTTCAGTTTTCTTTTTTTTGGTACCGGGGATTGAACTCAGATCCTTGCGCTTGCGCAGCAGGCGGCAAAACCACTGAGCTAAATCCCCGGCCCTGTGGGTTCAATTTTCAATACCCGCCCCCCAAAAAAGCCAGGCATGGTGGCACACACCTGTGATCTCAGCACTCAGGAGGCTGAGGCAGGAGGATTGCTGCAAGCTCCAGGGCCGCCTGGGCTACACAGTGAGTTCAAGACCCTCCCAAAATTCACAGGGAGACCCTGTCTCAAACAAACAACCTTGCTCCCTTTTCTTCCTAAGTTGGACCAGTCTTGGATGGTGGCGCCGCGTTTGAATGTAGCTGACTTGGTGTCTGATCGGAGGCATCTGCCTTGCACACACCCAGCCTCGGCATCTTCCCAGCGTGGGCAGGGCCTTTCTGTCAGTGCCAGTGTGAGCGGCAGACTGTGTGGGGGAGATGGGAGAAAGATGATTTATGACTATTAACCGTGTATGCAGGCCAAGGCTGTGTTTATATTTACGATGTCTTGCTCTTCTTTCACAGTCCTGCATCCTGCCCACAGCTAACCTCATGTTTTCATTTTCACTCTGCCCTTGCCCCGCTTCCAGACACCGAGGACTTACTGCTGCGCCAACACTGAAGACTTGGAGACAGTGATTCAGTACGTGCATGGCCTGTGCCCCTCTGCTCCTTTCCTGGCAGCGGGGGTCTCAATGGGAGGGTAAGGCTTTTCCTTTCCGAAACACCTGGGAACCAGCTGGGTTTGGTGGCGGATGCCTGTAATCCCAGCACTGGGGAGGCTGAGGTAGGAGGGTTGCTGTGAGTTTGAGGCCAATCTGGATTATACATAGTGAGACCTTGTCTCAAAATCAGTCAGTCAATCAGTCAGTCATCTGAGGGGGACATGGTCTTATTGGCTATCTTTCAGAGGGCTCTAAGGAAGTTAGACTTTTTCAAGTAAATGTTTGTGTTTATCTTATTCTATCACATATGGTTGAACAGATAAAGGGATTAATTTGGGTGTTTTATTTTCCTTGACTACTGTCTCCCTGGGAAAGAGGTACAAGTCCTTCTCGGGGTTTGGGGGCTTCTGGGAGTGGGAAGGCAAAGCTTACCCGTGCTGCCCACTGCCTGGTGACCCCTGAATCCCCGATGTCCTTCCTGCCGCCCCTGTGGCCGCAACTGAGTCCTTCTTGCCGCTCACGAAGCGGAACTTGGAGGGTGAAATTCATCCCTGGGCCAGGAGGCAGTGGCTCTACACCAAGCGACCCTCCAACCCCGAGGCCCAGGTGCTGCTCTGTTGTGTTGTGTGGTGTTGCAGGGCAGGTGGACCTGCCGCACACAGACAAAGATTTCCTCCTTAATTCCCTACAGCAGCTGCTGTTGTAAGCGTGCAAATATTATTGTGTTTGTGCCGCTAGCCATGACATTGGAACTTCATTTGGAATTTCCATTTGTGTTTATATTTAGGCTGATTTCTACAAATAATTCTTTATAGCTTATGTTCTAGTGACAGTGACCTTAAGGAAATCCAGAATTTTTATTATCCAGCATTTCACTATGCTGATTCCCTACAGCAGTGTCCCTAACTTCCTTCTTCCCTCCCTTCCTCCCTAGTGTTGCAGGGATTGAACCCAGGGCCTCTACACGCTAGCTAGGTAAGGGGTTCCCACTGAGCTCTGTCCCCTGCCACCAAACTACCCGTTTATATCAGCAAATACTCAAAATAGAAAATTACATTTTTTTCTTAATCTTATAATTGATTTGCCTGTCACTTCAGTTGAAAACATCTCAAGGGTATGCATACTGCCAAACAGCCTGTATGAGCAACAAACCCTAAAAGATAGGCTTTAACTGGAGCTTTTTAGGACTGATAAACGGAGAGGTGGGAAGAACAGTCTCCTCTCCATTAGCATGGGCAGCCTGACTTGACCTACTAAAGGGAGAAAAGCAGAGCACACGCAGTCCGGCAGTGTCCATTGTGCTGGGGACAGGATTTGGCTTCTCCTTCCTGTGCCTCATGTGGTGAAACTTCAAGGACGGGGTGAGAGCCGAACTCTTTCCCTGTCATATATATCCGTGGCTCTTTTCAGGGCAGACCTTACCCAAGCCGGCCGGATTCCCTGTGCAGAGGCCTCTGGGAGCTGCCTGCTCTCGCCAAGCCCCAGCGCCCAGGGCAGAGTCTACGCTCGCCTTTCAGGCTGGCTGCATATCCACATCCTGTCAGTTATTGGAAAGTGGTGTCCTTTCTGGTTGCCTGGTTGTTTTCTTTTTCCAGAGATGTAACTGCCAAACGCATGGTCTGAGGAAGACTCTGCTACCCCACAAACAGGGTGGTCCCCAACCCACTACTGCCCGGGAGCAGGCACAGCCTGGAGACAGAAGAGCCTACACCTTGATAGGCACCCTGCTGGCCTCCTGGGGAGGTGGTGAAACAAAAGGTTCAGAATGTATAGAAAATTCCCAATATGGGCCAGGCCTGGTGGCACAGACCTGTGATCCTAGCACTTAGGAGGCCGAGTCAGGAGGATCCCTAAGAATTTGAGGCCAGCTTGCACTACAGAAAACAAAGTGGGAAACAAAGGAAAAAACCCCAAGTATTAAGAGACTTAAGAGGCAAGCCAATCTCAAGATTTAGATCTTATCTGTATTTTTAGAAAAGCTATAATAAAATCAAATAGACAACTTGGGAATATGAACAATGACTAAAATTTAAAGATACTTAGAAATTAGTATTAGCGGGGTGTGGTGGCCCACATCTATAATCCCAGCACTCTGGAGGCTGAGGCCGGAGGATCACTGCAAATTCGAGGCCAGCCTGGGCTACATAATGAAATTGTCTCAAATAAACATAAATTAAGTAAATGAAGAAAGAAAGGAAAAAGAAATGAGATGTCTTGAGAGATGTAACAAATGAATCCCTAAGCTCCCAGTCTCTCCTCCTTTCAGAATGCTGCTTCTAAATTACCTGGGCAAAATTGGGCCCAAAACTCCTCTGATGGGAGCCGCAACATTTTCTGTGGGCTGGAACACTTTCGCCTGCTCAGAGTCCCTGGAGAAGCCCCTGAACTGGCTGCTTTTTAATTACTACTTGACCACCTGCCTCCAGTCTTCGGTTAATAAGTAAGTCATTGTTAAAATCTTTGTCACCAACTCTTTGGAGCACATGGCCCTGCCGTGAACATTGTAAAACCACAGCACTGCTGTAGATATATATTGACTTACACATTGGATCCATTTACCGCTGAACCAAATATTCACTATGTTATAAATGCATACAAAAATTTAAAAGTTGGAAACATGAGCTAAAAAATATAATTTCTTTCTGTATTCAAAAATAGATGGTCTTATGTAACTCCTGAAGTGTGTGTTCCCGCTTTAAACATCACTAAGTAACTATCCTAAATTAATCTAGAAGAGGGCTGGAGATTTAGCTCAGTGGCGGCATCACCTGCCTTGCAAGCTCAAGGTCCTGAGTTCGATCCCCAGTACCAAAAAAAATAAATATAATTAATCTAGGAGACTGAAACTTTAATATGGAATGTGTCAGGTAATCTTCTGGGCTGTTTGCCTAGATTTTCTGCTGGCTCATCTCATCAGAACCGAATTCTTGCCCAGGAAGTATGATGTCAGTGTTGAATAACTCGGCTCCTTAAGTTCGAAAGTGCAGTGCATTTTAGAAGTGAGAGAACGCAAGGGTGTGACTCCGCAGGACAGTGGAGTCTCAGCTCTCGGTCCTTACACTACCAAAATACTGGCTTTCTTAGTTTCTTCGGAATTTTTGGTGTGTCTTCTAGCAAAGAAATTGGCATAGTAGCACAGAACGCAGAGAGATTTCTGTTTATCTTTTTATGCCTGTTACTGTGTTTTCTTTTATTTATTTTTTTGTGGTACCGGGGATCGAACTCAGGACCTTGTGCTTGTGAGGCAAGCAGTGATGCCACTGAGCTAAATCCCCGGCCCTGTTACTGTGTTTTCTTTGTTTTTGGTGCTGGGAATTGAACTCAGGACCTCACATGTGCTAGATTGTTAAGTGGGTTGATACATTTAAATAGAAATATTTATATCTAAATAAAAAGTATAATTAGCCGGCACCCATCTGTAATTCTAGCTTCCTGGGAGGCTAAGGCAGCAGGGTGGCAAGTTCAAGACCACTCTAAATAACTTAGTGAGATGTTGTCTCAAAGTAAAAAAATACATAAAGGGCTGGGGATGTAACTCAGTGGCACCGCGCCTGCCTGGCAAGCACAAGGTCCTGAGTTTAATCCCCAGTTACCCCCCCCCCCCCGCCCGTCAAAACCAAACCAAACCAAAACAAACAAAAAAACTGGGATCGCAAAAAATTAAATAAAGTAAAAAGAGGCCAGGAGTGTAGCTCAGTGGTAGAGTGCTTGGCTAGCAGGTGGGAGGCCCTGGGTTCAATCCCCAGTGCCTAAAATAGAAAAAGAAGTATAATTAATTTGTATATGATTTATTGAAAACTGTAGTTCTCTGGAAAGTTGATATTAATCACTGGATTTGCCAGGCGTGGTGATGCATGCCCATACAGTAATCCCAGCACTTTGGAGGCTGAGGCAGGAGGATGACCACAAGTTTGAGGCCTGAGCTGCACAGTGAGACCCTGTCTTAAAAAAACAAGAGTGCCTTCAAATAAAACTTCAGTTTCCTCCTTCTATATCTGACCTTGTGTGCCCTGTGCTAGGTTATTTAGTTATTTATTGTGTATTTTAGGTGTGATTGAGGTAGGAATGACCTTAATTTTTAGTTTTGAAATTCTGTGTTGCAGGCACCGGCATATGTTTGTAAAACAAATTGATATGGACCACGTAATGAAGGTAGGAGAGAAACTTTATGTCGTACTTTTATTTCCTCTTTTGATTCCATGATTAGATGCAATTTTTTTTTGTTTTTCAGGCTAAATCTATCAGAGAGTTTGATAAGCGATTCACTTCCGTCATGTTTGGCTACCGAACAATTGACGATTATTACACCGACGCTAGCCCTAATCGCAGGCTGAACTCTGTCGGGATCCCAGTGCTGTGTCTCAATTCTGTGGATGATGTTTTCTCTCCCAGTCATGGTAAAGTTTTTATATATATAAATTTTTTTTCAGTGCTGGAACTCAAACCCAGGGCCCAAGAATGCCTAGCCAAGCCCTCTACCACTGAGCTACATGCCCAGTCTCTCGATAGATTTTCACTTGTAGTAATTTTTTAAACATTGGTTTGTTTGTTTGGTTTTTTTACAAAAATGTAATGATGGATTAGGAGCAGTGGTGCACAGCTGCAATCCCAGCTACTCAGGAGGGCTGAGGTGAGAGGGTCATAAGTTCAATGCTAGTATGGGCAAGTTAGCGAGACCCTGTTTCAAAAAAAATAAACATAAGGCAGGGTGTGGTGGCACACCCCCATGATCTCACCACTGTGGAGGCTGAGGCAGGAGGATCACCACGAGTTTGAGACCAGCCTGTGCTACATAGTGAATTCAAGGGCAGCCTGAACTACATAGGGAGACCCTTTCTCAATAATACAAAATAAATAAATAAAAAGAACTCGCAGGAGGATTGCCATGAGTTGGAGTGTAGCCTGGGCTACACGAGTTCAAGGCTAATTTGAGCTACACGGTGAGACTGTCTCAAAAAACCAAAACAAGGGCCAGGGATTTAGCTCAGTGGTTTCACTGCCTGCTGCGCAAGCACAAGGACCCAGGTTCGATCCCCAGTACCAAAAAAAAAACAACCCCAAAACAATAAACATTTAAAAATCTGGAGGGCCGGGGATTTAGCTCAGTGGTTCCGGTGCCTGCCTCACAAACGCAAGGTCCCGAGTTTGATTCCCGGTACCCCCCCCAAAAAAATCTGGAGATGTAGCTCAGTATAGAGTTCTTCCCTAGCATTCACAAAGTCCTTTGTTCAGTCCCCAGTTCCCCCATCGGGGATACCCCGTGGTTGTTGGGGAACGGCCAATCACCTGATTAGGCGTACAGCAGAGGATGAAGACTAATAGACAAAGAACAAAGGATAAAGAACAAATGACTGCTTATTACTTGGGGGGCTGGGCTGGGACTTAGCTCTCTCCTGGCTGAGACCATGATCTCAGTCTCTGGACTTGTCAGTATTTTTTGTTTATCCAGCACGGCATGGGGGGTAAAGGCAGATGCAGGGCATAGCAGAACTAATGCACTGATGAGCCAGGCTTGTAAAAGGGAGGAACAGCGCATCCTTGCAAAGGCCACTTCGAAGTTAACAACTCACCTGCACTATCTTTAGCTAATGTTTGATCTTGAGAATGGCTGAACAGAGTCGTAGATCCTCAGCGGCAGTGTTTCCTTGTCATTAGATCCATCACAACCTCACCAATCAGTTAGACCTCAATTGTGACCCATGGCACAGGGAATCTGTCTCCAAACACTAGCCGAAGGCTCATTTGGCAATTCACACATAGGCTTTGGATTCACTCATAATTTAATCAATAGCCAATTTTACTTGTTTTTTATTTTCTGGTACCGGGAATCTAACTCAGCACTTCGAACTTGCCAGGCAGGCACTGTGCCGCTGAGCTACATTTCCAGCCCAGTAGCCAATTTATGAGCCAATTCACTAATCTTATACTGTTCAACAGAGTTTCAAGCTGGTTTCTTGCACCCCCCCCCCACAAAAGAAAGAATTAAAGAAAAGAAAATGCAATCATAAGAAAACATCAGCCAGGTGTATGGCCCACATTTATAATCCCAGCATTCTACAGGCTGAGGGAGGAAAAGGACAAGTTCAAGCCCAGTCTGCAAAACTAAACAGCTCAGTGAGACCCTTAGTGAGATGCTCTGTCAAAATAAAAAAGGGCTGAAGATACAGTTGAGTGAAAGAGCCCTGAGTTCAACCTTCAGCACTGGAAAAAGAAAAAAAAGAAACAAAATGTCAGTTATAGGGCCAGGAATGTCGGTGCAGCATCTGCCTGGCAAGGGTGAGACGCTGAATTTGATAACTAGTACCAAAAAAAAAATATTGGGCTGGGGATTTAGCTTAGTGGTTCCACCGCCTGCCTCGAAAGCGCAAGGTCCTGAGTTCGAGCCCTGGTACCAAAAAAAAAATGTCAGTTATATGTTTTCCACTATGATTAAAAAATGCAGGAGATACTCATAATTTAGTATCTAAATGTCTTAGATCATTTTGTTTTTCCTTTTTTTTTTGGAGTCAAAGTCTCTCCGTGTAGTTCAAGCTGGCCTTCAACTCACTATGTACCCCAGGCTGGCCTCAAACTCACAGCAATCCTCCTTCCGAATACTGGGATCACAGGCATGCACCACCATGACCGACTCAGCTGACATCTTATATGTTATCAGAGTCCCTTATCTAGTTCATTGTGTATCTTGCTTGTTTGCATTTTATAACCTTTCCTTCTTTCCAAATGGGCTGGTTGGGCATCTGTGCCCCAGTGTCCCTCTTCTGAGAACTTCCTTATCATTGGCACTTGCCTCTTCCTGTGGCCCTGCAGGAGAATCTGGTTTCTCCTCTCTTTCAGCCTGGAAGAGAACTTGAGACTTTAGAAGCACAGTGGCTTTAAATATCTCAAAGATGGAAACAAATCTGGGCTGAAAGTTCATACGTGACGAAAAACTGTAAAAAAGAAAATTATTCCAAAAGATCTTTCCTGCTCTTTCTCATTTGTTTTTGGGGGTTTTTTTTTGGTTTGTTGTGTTTTTTTTGGTACCAGGGATTGAACTCGGGTCATTGTGCTTGCGCAGCAGGTGGCAAAACCACTGAGCTAAATCCCTGCCCCCTTGTTTTTGTTTTTTAGACAGGGTCTCGCTATGTAGTTCAGGCTGGTCATGAACTCACTGTATAGCCTAGGCTAAAGGATCACTCAAACTCAAAGCGATCCTCCTGCCTCAGCCTCCCCAGTGTTGGGATCACAAATGTGAGCCACCACACCTGGCTTTCTCATTTGTTTTGGAAGTTGTTTGTTCCTTTGTTTTTGCAGTACCAGGGATTGAGCCAAGGGCCTTCACACTGAGCTACATCCCCAGCCTATCTTTCACTTTTGAGGTAGTGTCTCATTAAATCACTAAAATGCTCAATTAAATTTGAGGCAGTCCTCCTGTCTCAGTCTCCCAGAATGCTGGGATTACAGTCACATGACCATGCCGAGCTTCGTTTTTTTTTTTTTTGGTACCAGGGATTGAACTCAGGACCTTGCACCTTTGAGGCAGGTGGCAGAACCACTGAGCTAAATCCCCGGCCCCTCTTTTTGGTTTTTTGAGACAGGGTCTGTGTATGTGTAGTAGAGGCTGATCTTGAACTTCCTATGTATCCCAGGCTGGCTTTATTTTATTTCCACACTGGCTTCAAATTTGAGGCAATCTTCCTGCCTCTGCCTCCCAAGGCACTGGGATTACAGCTGTGTGCCACCACACCCTGCTTATTTTCATTTTTTCGGATCTGGGCATTGAAGCCAGGGCCTCTTGCAGGCAAGGCAAGCACGATGCCCTTGAGCTACAACCCCAACCCCTGTTCTCTTGCTTCAAGAAATACAAAATTTAGTAGCAAAGATGTCTCCACGTGCTCAGCTAGTGAAGTAGAATGAGTAAAAGTAATCATGTGATTCAAGGATCAATAGGTTTGGCCTCTAACTTCATTTTACAGAAACCTCACAAAGAATTCTATGAAGTGTTTCCTCCTTACTTTCTTCCTCCTAAGTACTGTTTGTCTCGTTTTTTATTTTTTGCCATCCTGGGGAACAGAGCTGGGACTCCACATACAATAGGCAAGCACTCTGCCACTGAACTAGGCCCCAGCCCTCCCTGGTAACAGTGTTAAAAACATGTTCTGTTCTCCAAGTCCTTTATCGAAAACAATCACCCCAGTGTGTAGTCCTAGCACTCGGGAGGCTGAGGCAGGAGGATCGCTTCGAGTTTGAGGCCAGCCTGGCCTACATAGTAACTCAAGGCCAGCCTGAACTACACAGTAAGACCCTGTCTCAAAAAACAAAACAAAACAAAAACAAAACCCACTCTGGGCCGGGTTGCAGTTCAGTGGTTGAGGGCTTCCCTAGCACACATGAGGTCCTCGGTTCCATCCCTAGCACTAAAAAACAAATTATTCTGGCTACAAACATAATACATATTGTAAAAATTTCAGAAAATTCCCCAAATATACACCTTTTACAATCACCATCATGTCTCTGGGAGACCTTGTTGAATCACAGGTAATTTTAGAGAGCACTCCAGTCATCAGCTGAATGACGCAGCGATTGTTCAGCACGTACTCTTTGGACCGAGGAGGGCTCAAGTTGCCCTGTTCGTTTTTCTATTCCCCTGGCTGCCTGCCAACAGAAATTTCCAACATTTAACCTGACCCCATCGGGTGGAGCTGAAACTCATTCTTTCCTGTTCTTTCCCAAGCCCTCCAAACGGCCTGGCCCCTGGGAAATAGTGTGCGATTGTCTTTGGTCTGCGAGAACAGGGGCCCGAGTCTCTCACAAAGCCCATGTGGCACAGGCTTTTGTCCCTTGGTGGGTTAGAAGGCTCGGAGCAGGACAGGGTGGAGCTCAGCAGCAGGACATGCACAGCCCGGCAAGGCCTGGTTTCATTCCCTAGTCCTCACTCCCCACCCTAAAAACAAATGATGGTCTGAACTTTAAGCATGAGGGAAAAATAAGTAAGACATTTCAACTCGTATTCTTTTAAGTTTATACTCAGTTGATTTTGTAGACCACATGAAAAGACTGTCTCTTGACTATAAATAGAAATTCAGAAAAAGAAAAAAATAATGGAAGCTAGGTGTGGTGGCTGGAGCCTGTAACCCCAGCATTTGGGAGGCTGAGGCGGGAGAATCATCGAAATTTCAAGGCCAGCCTGAGCTACATAATGAAATCCTGTCTCAGAAAATGAAAAAAAAAAGGAAGAAGAGAAGCAGCAAAAGAAAAAAATAATCACCCATGATTTGTACATTCAGTACCCAGAGATAAACATTTTGGAAACATATTCCTTTTTTTCTATCTAATATGTTTTTACTATTTATATTTATAATCATGAACCCTTCATGCAGCCACCAGTTGACTTCAGGAATCTAACTTCATGTAAAGTTAACCAGATCAGGGCCGGGTTCCGGTGCCATCCGAGGTACCAAAAATAAAATAAAATAAAGTTAACCAGATCATACATAATGAATTTACAATCTCACAAAGGTGCTAAGGTTCTTTTGTTGTTGTTTTTTTTGGTACTGGGGATTGAACTCGGGACCTTGCCCTGGTGAGGCAGGCAGCGGCACCACTGAGCTAAATTCTCAGGCTTTGGTTTTTTGAGACAGGGTTTCACTTGGTAGTTCAGGCTGGCCTTGAACTCACTGTGTAGCCCACACTGGCCTCAAACTCTTGGCAATCCTCCTGCCTCAGCCTCCCGAGTGCTGGGATTACAGACATGTGCCACCACACCTGGTACATTTCAACTTTTCAAAACAAGATTCAGCCTAAACTTTTGTATTATGATTAAATCTTGGATTGTTTCTCCCAAAAATGATAGTCTAGTACATACTGTAAACATGACCTATGATAAGAATATAGATGGTTGATGTAAATTAGACTCACTCCATTTAGCCATACTCACTACAAGTATTTGTTTAATGGGGTCTGGGTTTATATTGATTAGAAATTATAAAAGTAGAGGTTGGCATGGAAGTGCACACCTGTAATCCCAGCACCTGAAGGCTGAAGCAGAAGGATCTTGAGTTTGAAGCCAGCCTGGGCTACATAGTGAGCCCCTGTCTTAAAAGAAAAAACAAAACAAAACAAAAAAATGATGAAGTTGTATTCCTTTCCTAACAAGACAGTAATGGTCCCCCCCACCCTTATGGCCCCCTTTTCTCCCCTCCAGCTATCCCAGTAGAGACTGCTAAGAAGAACCCCAATGTCGCCTTGGTCCTTACTTCCTGCGGAGGCCACATTGGCTTTCTGGAGGGGATCTGGCCCAGGCAGTGCACGTACATGGACCGCGTCTTCAAACAATTTGTGCAGGCCATGGTGGAGCACGGGTGGGAGCTGGCCCGCACTTAGTACCGTCCATCTGTCCTTCTGTCTGTCCTTGCGCACGCCAGGCACAGCGCTGGCTTCTCGACAGGAAGCAGCCTTGAGGACCAGGAGGAAGGCGGAAGCTGGTTTTTAGGGACACAAAACCACTTTGTAGCAAGACATCAGCCCTAGTTTAGATTGTTACTTAAGGGCCAGGGATTTAGCTCAGTGGTTTTGCTGGCTGCCTCGAAAAGTACAAGGACCCCAGTTCAATCCCTGGTATCAAAAAAAAAAAAGAAAGAAACTTCTAGCATCTTAGATTGTTACTTAAGTAGATTTTATTTTTCCTATGCCTTACCAAGTATGACCTTAAATAAAGTAGTCCTTCCACAGATGGAATTGCACTTAACCAAAACTATCGTGTAAACAGAGTTTAATTCCTCAGGGTTTTAATTTAGGCTAGTATTTTTTTAGATGACTCATTTTAGGTGACTTAATGGTACTTTACTAAGTGTTCAGAGATCTAGTTGTTTGAATATAAGTTGTAAGTGGGCACATGCCTAAGGATATTTTTATTTTAATGACGATAACATGAAACAAGATAAAATTCAATCCACTAAATCTTTTATGTAGTCTAACTTTAAAAGCAAGTGCAGGCCCGGGGATTTAGCTCAGTGGTTTCGACGCCTGCTGTGCAAGGGCAAGGACCCGAGTTTGATCCCCAGTACCAAAAAAAAAAAAGCAAGTGCAACAATGTTAGACGGACTTCTACGCATTCTCTGTTACCCTGGTAATATTAAATTAGAGCTGATTTGTGTTTTATAACGGTTATGGTTTACAGGCTTATTTTTTAAATACTATACGTGCACACATATTTATCATTATATTGAAATAAATTCTATCATTTTAAATTATTTCCTTGTGAGTTTTTATCTACAAAAAGGATCCAAAAAGTAATCTCTGGAAAATAATTTATGATAATTTCATGCAAACATTAGTAAGCATTTGGTTTGGGGATAGACCGGGGATTTATCTCAGTGGTTCCACCGCATGCCTCACAAGCTCAAGTTCCTGAGTTCGATCTCTGATACAAAAAAAAAAAAAAGAATTTGGTTTGGGTTTTTTGTTTTTGTTTTTGTTTTGTTGTGTTTTGAGGCAGGGTCTCCCTTTGTAGTTCAGGCTGGCCCTGAACTCACTATGTAGCCCAGGCTGGCCTCGAACTCACAGCAATCCTCCTGCCTCAGGGTCCCGAGTGCTGGGATTACAGACGTGTGCCACCACACCTGGATCATTAGTAAGAAATATTAAAACTCTCTTGCTTTACTGTTTCCAGAATAATGGGCCCATATCATTTATATCAATTAAGAATACTTTCAGCACCAGATGGGCATACCTGTAATCTCAGTACTCAGGAGGCTGAGGCAGGAGGATTGTCTCTAGTTAAAGACCAGCCTGGACTACACAGTGAGATCTTATCTCAAAAAACACAAAAACTTTCAGCTATAGGATTCCCAATAGTTCCTGAAGAATAATTTTATTGCTGTTATGAGTGTAGCTCAGTGGTAGAATTTACAAGGCCCTGGTTTTGATCCCCAGCACCACACACACACACACACACACACACACACACACACACACACACAGTGATATAAAGATAAAGATATTAAGAGATCAGAAGAAGCTGGGGACAGTGGTACACACCTATAATCCCAGCACTCAGGAGGCTGAGGCAGGAGGATTGCCATGAGTTCAAGGCCAGCCTGGGCTACATAGTGAAATACTGTTTCAAAAAATTAAAAAAATTTTTAAAAAGATATCACAAGTAGTTTCCTGGTAGGCAGAACAGAACAGGGCTAGCACAGGTGTTTACCAATGTCATCAATGGCCCAAGTTCTGTTTGCCCCCTATCCTTAGTGGGGTGGCTAATGATCACCTAGACACAGAGTAGCTGCTGCAGCTCCAGTCATCCCATTTGTGTTTAGAGAAGGAAAAGATGAAAGAATGGTGCCAAACATACCTGCCTTCCCTTATGGGATAAAAAAGGTTTTCCCAGAAGTGTTGCACTAGTATCTATAGAACTGTGTCCCATGTCCTCCCAATTGATGTGCTCGCTTCAGCAGCGCATATACCATGCCCCTGATTGAACGGGGGACTGGGCATGCAAGTGTGTACTTTTTCCTGGTAGTGCAGCCTGGCAAGAGATCAGAGCCTGGCAAGAGATCGGGGCCTGGCAGAGGCTGCTGGACTCTCCACCAGCAGTGACATCCTCCATGCCATGAAACATTTTTTTTCTTCCTTTTTTCATGTCTTCAACCTATGAATCAAATGCATGTATCAGCCAGGCATGGTGGCAAGCGCTGTGGTCCCAGCACTTGAGAGGCTGAGGCAGGAGGCTTGCTGTGAGTTTGAGGCCAAGGACAGCCTGAACTACATACGGAGACCCTGTCTCCAAAAAGTGGGAAATAAAGTATATATTGATGCTTGGCTGGCCTGAATCATATTTTTTAATTTCTTTATTGGGATACAGTTTAGATATAAACCAGACTGAGACCGACACTCGGTCCAGAAATACAATAGGCACCTTTTCTTGCTTTTCTTAGTCTGTTCGTCTCCGGACCTTGACTCTCAGGATAGGAAACTTGGGCTTTGGAGCCCAGCATGCAAGTCTCCAGGCCGGGCGGAGCCACCTGCAGGGGGAACACTTGTGACCCGGCAGAACACCGTGTTCGGGGGAAGCACTGCTTCCCGTCAGCCTCCAGAGATAACCTCGGAGACACAGAAATCTAAACCATGTGCTACGCTTAAGCAAGGCAGAATAGAAGAGCTATAGAAATAATTTGCATACAGTACCTAAAGAACACAAGCCCGCGGTGCGCCTTGGGTCACGGAGGGCATTGGAACTTTAGATTCCTCCGCACCGCTAAGAGACGCTTCTCGGCCGGGGATGTAGCCCAGCGGCACAGCGTCTGCCTGGCAAGTGCAAGGTCCTGAGTTCGAGCCCTGGTACCACACACAAAAAAGGACGCTTCACCCATTGTAGTCACTCCTCGGCTGCCTCCACCCCCTTAGCCCAAGGCTACCACTGAACTTTGTCTCTAAAAACTTGCTTATTCTAGACGGTTCATTAAAAATGGAACTATAGCCAGGGATTTAGCTCAGTGGTTCCGGCGCCTGCCTTGCAAGCTCAAGGTCTGGTGTTCGATCCCCACTACCAAAAAAAAAAAAAGAACTATATGAAAGGATTAAAAGAGGCATACATAGCGATATACGCACCCCCTGTGTTTACAGAGGCATAGTTTGTAATAGCTAAATCTTGGAAACAGCCCAAATGCTCACCAACCAATGAGTGGATAAAGTAGATGTGATTCTTTATACAATGGAGTACTATTCTGCCGTAAGAAGGATAAGCTTGAGACATTGCTAGCTAAATGGATGCACCTTGAGACCATACACTTAAGTGAGGTAAATCGGACACACGGGTTTAAATACCCCATTATTTCTCTGGTGTGAGAAACCAAAAGTGGAAATAAGGGGCCCGGGATTTATTTCAGTGGCACCGTACCTGCCTTGCAAGCGCAAGGTCCTGAGTTCCATCCCAGGTATGGGGGGGGGGGACGACACTAAAATGTATACTAGATATTAGGAAATGGGAAGAAAACATTCCAATGAGAAGGGGAACAAGGGAGAGGGGAGGGGGGAGAGGAAGGAAGGGAAAAGAAAAAAAAGGAAAAGTAGAAACAAAACTTGTAAATAAGGAGGGGAAGATGGGTTAAAGGGAAGGGAGGGAATGAGAATAAAAAGAAAGAAGATATGTCACCTACAAAAAAAAGGATACCTCACCTACAGGTACAAATTCCCTATTATGAATATAATCATTATGTATATCTAAAATGTACCAATACAGGGGAATGGGGAAAAAATAAGAAACAAGATACATCGGGCCAGGGATTTAGCTCAGTGGTTTCACCGCCTGCCGTGCAAGCACAAGGACCCAAGTTCGATCCCTGGTACCAAAAAAAAAAAGAAACAAGATATATCGTGTAAAGGTACAAGATCCCAATGATGAATGTAATTGTATTGTATACCTAAAATGTACCAATAAACTTAATTTAAAAAATAAAATGTACCAATAAAATTAATTTTAAAGCAGCTGGGGATGTAGCTCAGTGGCACTGCACCTGCCTGGCAAACACAAGGTCCTGAGTTCAATCCCCGGTTCTGCACCCCCCCAAATTAATTAATTAATTTAAAAAAATAAAAATGGAGCCATACATTAGCTGGGCATCTTGACACACAACTCTAATTCTAGCACTTGGGAGGCTGAGGCAGGAAGGATCCCTGTGAGTTTGAGGCCAGCCTGGGCTACATAGCAAGACCCTGTCTCAAAACAAAAATGTTTCAAAGGGTAAGGGCTGGGGCTGTAGCTCAGTGTTAGAGCCCTTGCCTATTCAGCATGAGGTTCTGGGTTCAATCCTCACTACTGAAAAAAAAATCCTTCCCCTATGGATATTTTCCCATCTGTTTAAGTATTTGGTCTGTTTTGTGGCACTGGGGATCAAACCCAGGCCCTGTGTGCACCAGGTAACTAAGTGCTGTCCCGCGCCGCTTGCCCGTTTTCTGATTGTTCTGCCCGCACCGCTGGCTGTGTTGTGTCCCTGACTCTCCCTCAGCAGCTCTGTCTCCTCTCCTGTCATCCCTGAGTTCAGGCCTTTCGTGGACTTCATCGGTGCCTATTTTTCATTTGTTGACTCTGCCAGGTACAAAGCATTATACTAGATAAAATACAATTTGAAATTTCTTTAATCCATAAAAAGCTCCCGCAAATCAAACAATACTCCCAACTCAGCAGAAAATGGGTGACTTGTAGACGTGGCGTTTACACAGCCTGGGACGTGAGTACACACTTGGGCTCACTGGTAAAAAAGACAAATGCAAATCAAACAATAGTTCTGATCTAATAGAGTTACCAAAACTTTTTTAAAAATAAATTTTATTTTATCCCATCCCCCCCCTCAAGTCTTCCCTCCCTATGTAAAAAATCTTTGTTTCCATTTTTTCTTCTATTTTCACTTTTTTTCTTGTCCCTTCCTTCCTTTCTTCCTCCCTTCTCCTTTGTTCCCCTTTCCATTTGAACATTTTCTTCCCATTTCCCAACATCCATTATACATCTCAGTCCTCATTTCCACATTCAGTTTCTCACACCAGAGAAAGAATACGGTATTTAAACATGTGTCCGATTTATTTCACTTCAAAGTATGGTCTCAAGGTCCATTCATTTAGCTATAAAAATCTGAACCTCATCCTTCTTTACAGCAGAGTAGTACTCTATTGTGTAAAAAAAACCCCACATCTTCTTTATCTACTTGTCAGTTGATGGACATTTGGGCTATTTCCAAGATTTAGGTATTACAAACTGCTGCTATAAGCATGGGTGTGCACATATTGCTATGGTATGATGCTTTTAATTCTTTCTGGAAGATACCAAGAAGAGGTATAGCTGGGTCAAATGGCACCTCTACTTTTAGTTTTTTGAGCAGCCTCCACACTGATTTCCACAGTGGTTGCACCAGTCTACACTCTCACCAGCACTGGAGAAATTTCCTTTTTCCCTACAATCCTGCCAGCATTTGTTATTGGTTGATTTCTTGATAGCAGCCATTCTTTCTGGAGTGAGGTGAAATCTCAGCATTGTTTTAATTTGTGTCTCTCAAATGACCAATGATGTTCAATATTTTATCATATATTTATTTGCCGTTTCTCATTCTTTATCTGAGAAGTGTCTTTTTATTTCAGGTGCCCATTTAGCAATACTTAAAAAAACACAAAACTTGTTTTTCCAGTGCTCGAGACTGAATCCACTGATCTATACCCTCAGCCCTAACAATAACATTTCCAAATGATTCTAGAGCCAGGCCTGGTGGTACATGCCAATAACCCTAGCTATTGGGGAAGCAGAGGCAGGAGGGTGATGAGTTAAGAGGCCAGTCAGGGCAAAACAGTGAGACTCTGAACTGAAAAAGTCAGTTTTGGTAAGGTTGGGGGTGACAGTTACTCTGGGACACTCTGGGATTGTAAAGCACAAAAACAATACAACCTCTATAAAAGGAATTTGCCAATCTGCCAACTTACTTTTTAATGCCTATTTCCTTCAACTGAGAAACTCCATTTCCAGGGTTCTACACATTTGAGATGCTCTCTGTGTGAGGCTGATTATTGTAGCAGTGCTGTTAATATGAAGAGATAGAAAACAGCCTAAGACGGGGCTGGGGATTTAGCTCAGTGGTTTTGCTGCCTGCTTTGCAAATGCAAAGTTCCGAGTTCGATCTCTGGTACCAAAAAACAAACAAACAAAACAAAACAGCCTAAGTGCTCATTTGGAACTGATTAAATCGGTTGAGGTTTATCCATAGTAACATACGTACCATTTCAAACTTGAGATCCATGTTGATAAAGGCTGAGGATCGGGACCAGCATGTTTCAGATTTGGGGGTTTGTCTGGTTTTTTGTTTTGTTTTGTTTGTACTAGGAATTGAACCCAGCGCCTTTGCACTGAGCTACATCCCCAGCCTTTGTAATTTTTTATTTTGCAATAAGATCTTGTGGACTTGTCCACATCAGCCTCGACTGTATGATCCTCCTGCCTCAGCCCTGAGTGCTGGCATTACAGGCGTTAGAATGAGATGATACAGTCAGGTAGGGCAGATGGGAGAGTTCAAATGAATTCAGATGCCCCATAGTTCAACACTTGAGGGCAGTCACCTTAGAAATGGGACACATCAATGCTTGGTCAGCCCCAGTGTCAAACTCATCTCAAAAATATAATACCTTCCTTTCTGCTTCAGCTTTATCACCCAAACGTATCATCTCATTATAATTCATAGAAGAGTTTGAGTGCTGAGACAAAGATTTTTTTTTTTTTTTTGGTACGGGGGATCAAACTCCGGACCTTGCGCTTGCAAAGCAGAAGGTGGCACCACTGAGCTAAATCCCCAGCCTGAGACAAAGATCTCACAGTGGTAAGCCTGGTACCTGGTGAAGTTAGCAGTAATTATTACTGTGGGAAACTAGAGCAGGCTGTAATTCCACTCAACTCTCCTAAGGCAGCTATTACTATTCTTATCTGCTATCTAGATATGTTTCTATCCAAATAAGCTACACATCCTTAAAGATAATGATTCAGGCATTCAATAATTATTCAGCAGCCTAAGCATGTTGGCACAACCCTGTAATCCCAGCACTTGGGAGGCTGAGTCAGGAGGATCACCATGAGTTCCAGGCAAGCCTGGGCTACACAGTGAGTTCAAGACCAGCCTGAATTGCATAGTGAGACCCTGTCTCAAAAAAGATTATTTTTGTAATTTTTTGGCACAGGAATTGGACCCAGGGCCTTCACCCTGAGCTACATCCTCAGCGTTTTTTAAATTATTATTTTGAGACAGGGTCTCATTATGTATTTCAGGCTGGCCTCCAATTGGTGGCAATCCTCCTGCCTCAGCACTCCTGAGTGCTGGGATTACAGGCGTGTGCCACCATGTCCAACAAAAATGTTTATTAGTTTTTATAAAACTACCCCTGAAAATGTACTTTTGAGACCTGCCAATGGATTGCAACATGGAGTTTGGAAAAGCTACTAGAATTGTAGAAATTACTAGAAATCAAGGCAGTCAGAATTGCTGATGGCATTGGCCACGTATGGCTGCAACAGCCCCTTTCTGTCTGCTTCTACTCATAGACAGGAAGCATGTGTCTCTGTTCTTCACTTTATCTCCCATGGCCAACAGTGCCTGGCTCATATAGGATTCTTAGGAAATATTTGTTATTAATAATTCTGTACTTAATATTTATTACTCAAACCCTTAGATGCCTGGGATGGTAGCACACACCTGTAATCCCAGCACTAGGGAGGCTGAGGCAGGAGGACTGCAACAAATTCGAGGCCTGCAGGGGCTACATAGTGAGTACCTGTCTCTAACAAAACAAAACAAAATGTAACCCTTGGGCCCTTCAGTAGAACCTTAAGCAGAAATTAAAGGGCTAGGGATGTAGCTCAGCGGCACAGCAAGGTCCTGAGTTTGATCCCCAGTACCAAAAAACGAAAAAAGAAAGAAAGAAATTAGAGACAAATCAGGAGTGGGAGAGGAGGCCTTCAGCAGCCTCTTTCTGACTCAGACTATCTGGAAAACCAATGTTTCCCCTGCAGACCTCAGGGTTCAAATGGCTAATTTAAAAATCTCACAGTAGGGGGCCAGGGATTTAGCTCAGTGGTTCCAGCATTTGCCTAGAAAGCACAAGGTCCCAAGTTCAATCCCTGGTACCAAAAAAAAAAAAAAAATCTCACAGTTACTCTGAACCTAACAGTGCTGGTCACAAGGTAAGTACCTACCTTTGTAGATCTTCAACTGGAGTCCAGGAGGAAAGTCTGGAAGGTTGGGGCCGATGAACACCCAAGAAAGTGCTTTTTAAGCTCTGGTTCTCAGGCAAAAGGCAGTATCTTGGGTCCTGACCTTTTCTGAGAGCGAGCTGGGATGCAGCTAGAAGCCAATGCTCCTCCTATAGTCCAACAATGTCGGCATCGATAGGTACCTAGTGCAGTGAAAATTGCTGGACAAGAGGCCAGGGATTTAGCTCAGTGGTTCCGGTGCCTGCCTCGCAAGTGCAAGTTCCCAAGTTCAATCCCCAGTACCAAAAAAAAAAAAAAAAAATGCTGGACAAAATTGCTTTTAGTGTTTTGCTCTTAAGTTTTATTCCTAAGTAAAGAAACATTTTTATATCCATGAGCCTTGGGCTGATAAAAGAACAATGTTTTCTGCTTTTGTCATATGCATTAGATGTAAAATATGCACCTGCACTATTTATCCCTATTCCCAAATGCTGAACTTCAGAGATACTTTTTCTGACTATCCTTCGACCACCTAAATGTAGGAATTACTAAGAAAACTGTTATGCAAAAATAAAAGTGAAAATTAAGAATTTGGCAAGAGTAATTTACCTCTCTGAATATTTTTTTTTTTTTGATACCGGGGATCGAACACAGGTCCTTGTGCTTGCGCAGCAGGCGGCGAAACCGCTGAGCTAAATCCCCGGCCCTCTCTGAATATTTTTTAAAAGAAAGACAATTATAGGCCGGGAATTTAGCTCAATGGTTCTGCCACCTGCCTCATAAGCGCAAGGTCCTGAGTTCAATCCCCGGCACCAAAAAAAACCCAAAATAAAACAAAGAAAGATAATTACAGCCCAGGTATGGTGGCACATCCTTGTAATTCCAACTACTTGGGAAGCTGAGTCAGGAGTATTCCATGTTCCAAGTTGGAGACCAGCCTAAGCAACTTAGCCAACTCTGTCTCAAACTAAAAAGTAGAAGGGCTGGGGATGTAGCTCAATAGTAGAGCATCCTGGATTCAATCCCCAAAGCCAAGGAAAGCGGGGGGACTCAATATTAATATATTACTGGACACTTTTCATATTTATGCTTTCCATAGAGTATTATTACCCCCACCCTGCTGTGAGTTAAATGCTGGTACCCATGTCTTTCAAGCAATGCAATAATCCCACTGGGTTGGGGATTTAGCTCAGTGTCACTGCACCTGTGTCAAAAGCGCAAGGTCCTGAGTTCAATCCCCAGTATGGGCGGGGGGGGGGGGGCGGAGATCTGAATCCCAGAATCCCAGAATCCCAGAATCCTATGCATTCCTTCTCTCAGCCTGTTGTTGTTTGTATACCAATGACCCAGAACCAGCTGGGCTCCTGAAATTTGCCATTTTAGAATGTTGAAAACTTAGAATGTATTATAAAAATATGATTGGATCCAGGCATGGTAGTGCACACCTGTAATCCCAGCACTCTGGGAGGCTGAGGCAGGAGGATAACTGTGAGTTTGAGGCCAGCCTGGGCTATATAGCAAAACCCTGTCTCAAAAACAAACAGATCAAAAAAAAAGAAAAAACGAAAAAGAAAAGAAAGAAAAAAAAAACCCCACAATAAATTCAAGAGACCTTTGCCTAAATAACCTGCTTCTCACTGAAATACAATAGCTGCTTAGCAGAATGTCCACTTAGGTTAGATAGCAAGAAAAATCTCCAGGTCCACACAAAGTCACAGTGTAAATACCCAGTGAGGACACAGCCAGAAAGGAGGGACGGCAGCTGAGCGAGGGGGAAACGAGGGTGGTGTGAGGGTGACTAGTGAGGAGTAGATGCGAGAGAGGAGATGATGGAGACAGGGTGTGAAGAACCGGGTAGCTGTCGGCTCAGCCCAATGGGTCCCAGGGCGCGCAAATGCTGGCTAAACCGCGGCAGCTACACCTGTGCGGCGTCCCCGCTGAGGTGGCGCTGCAAGCACAGGACACACCAGGCCGCCCTCGCCAGCGTAGGCTCCGCTCCTCTGCTGAAGATTCCAACAGAGCCGGAGGGGACAAGGACCTGCCGTCTGCCTCTGAGGGACAGGACAGAACCATCGTGCTCTGGGGTTTGGGCACTGGGTGATCGTGTGCCCCACGGCTGCCTTTCCCCGGCTCCACAGCATAAGCAGGCTGTGGGCATTCCGGCCCGCTCAGCACCCGGTCATCTACTTACAGTCGTTCTTTCATCCAGTCCTGCAGGAGACCAGCTTGAAACCGCACTGAGCAGGCTTTAGATGTTATTGATTTGGCTTATGAATTCAGCTATTGATTAAGACTATGAAGGGGAAAAAAAAAAAAAAAAGACTATGAAGGGGCTGGGGATCCGGGGATGCAGCTCAGTGGCGCCACACCTGCCTGGCAAGCGCAAGGTCCTGCGTTCCATCCCTGGTACCAAAAAAAAAAAAAAAAAAAAGACTATGAGTCACTCCAAGGCCTAAGTGCGAACCACTAAGTGACCTTTTGGCTGGTGTTTGGAGACAGGCTTCCCTGTGCCAAAGGTCACAACTGAGGTCTGAGTGATCGATGAGGCTGTGACGTCTCTAACAGCAAGGGAACACTGCAGCTGAGGAACTGACTCTGTGCAGCCATTCCCCAGGATCAGATGTTAGCTAGATAATGCGGGTTAGCTTTGACTGCAAGATAGCCCAGGTGCCTTTGTTAACTGTCTGGCCTTCACAGGCCTAGTTACTCCCCTTTTCCAACCCCAGCTCACGAAGTGCCCTAATGCTATTCTCCACCTCTGCCTTCATGCTCCCTTGCTATGTAGTGCAATCATACAAACTCACTAATCCAGAGCTCCTGCTCTGAGCCAGGACAGAGCTGAGATCAGGTGGTCTTTAGCCAGGAGAGCCAAAGATCAATTCCCAGCTCCCCCAGAAGTAAGACTGTCGTTCGTTCTTTATTCTTTATTCCTTGTTCTTTATATATTGGTCTTTCATCCCTTGCTGTCCCATCAGGCGACTGGGCCCCGGTGACAGCTGGTCAAGCTATCACCCCCGCACATTCCCACTGGTCCGTCTCTCTGGAAGACCCCGTCACAGCCCCTGGGAGGTTATTTCCTGTAATCTACCAGCACATCCAGATACCTATTCGCCAAATCCCTCACATGATGTACACTATTTCCAGAAAAAAGAAACAGACAAAAATTACCAAATGGTTTAATTGTGCAGTAAAGGAGAGAAAAAGAAAAAAAGGAAAAAAAAGTCAGGGCCAGGGATTTAGCTCAGTGGTTCCATCGCCTGCCTATCAAGAGCAAGGTCCCGAGTTTGATCCCCGTGCCAAAAAAAAAAAAGGCCAGGTTCCTGACTCAAATCTTTTACTCAAATCTTTTTTCTCTTCTCTGATTTAGAAGGCTCATAGGGGGAAAATCAACCGAGCATAGATCAAGACAAGGGATGCTAAAGCTCTAGTCTTGGAAGTATTTGTCAGTTGGCTTTTGTTTCTTTTTGGCTTCTAGAAGGAAATGTTTTCTCAGGGGGGAGGGGGCAGTGGCTGCCTCTGCCTCTATTTTCTTAGGTGCGTTTAGCCTAATGCAGAAGCTCCTCCCCAAGAAGGCTGGCCCATCTACCTGGGGGGGGGGGGCTGTGCACTTCATTAGTAAACATGGGTGGCCCAGCCTGAGCTGTTTTGCAGTTGCCTTTCTGCAGAGCCTGCTGGGCCTATGGCCAGTCACTGAGTTCCCAGCAATGACCTGAAGGAGGCCCCACAGGGAGGCTTGTTTCTAAAGCATGGAGTTCACTGGAGCCCAGTTGGGTCATCAGGGTAGTTTCTTACCCTCTCCTAAGGACAGCTGACCTTGTGCGGTGTGTCCCTCACTAGGAGTACTCAGGAAGACACGAGTAAAAGTACAGGGGGTCAGACCTGCCTGAGCCTCTCTTGATACAGTCAGAGATGCAGTCTTGACTATGGTGGCTTTGATATAAGATTATCATGTTTCAACATGAAGTAATATGTTGCCACTCAAGCCCAGAAGGTAAAGTGTTTTGTCTTTTGTCCAGTGATTTGGCACAAGCTAGACACTGGACTTCTGTGACAGTAACCAAGGAAAAGAGTAACACCTAGCCAGGTGTGGTCTATATAACCACTACAATCCCAGCACTCGGGAGGCTGGGGGAGGAGGACTACTGTGAGTTCCAGGCCAGCCTGGGCTACACAGTGACTTCAAGACCAGGGCCGGGGATTTAGCTCAGTGGTGCCGCCGCCTGCCTCGTAAGCGCAAGGTCCAGAGTTTGAACTCCGGTATCAAAAAAAAACCCCAAAAAACAAAACAGCCTGAACAACACAGTGAGACCTTGTCTCAAAACAACAACAAAAATACCCAAATGTCAGAAAATGACAAGTGTTAGTGAGAATGTGGAAATGAGAACCCTCATACATTCTTTAGGCCTCTGGTTGCCTGTTTTAGCAACAGAAAGGTGAAAGATGATAATCTTTCACTTACCACTAAGTTGAGGTCACACTTACACATTTGAATCTATGTGTCTACAGAAGAACAGAAGGAAGAGGCTAAAACTGGGGCAGAAGAGGAGCAGTAGGATAGTTATTCAGGTTGTCTATCTGCAGAAAATTTGCTTCAGAGAAATCAAGAATCAAGTTGCCTAGAAATGGCTTAAAATGAGGACCACATGAATACCCAAAAGCAGAGGGTTTTATTAGAGTCCTTCCTGTCACTCTCAGGGCCTGCATCAATCAACAACTCCAAGTATACCTCCAGCTCTACATTTTAACCGTAAGCTGTTCAAGATGGATGTGATGATTCCAATCTGGAGTCCCAGGACTCTGGAGGCTGAGGCAGGAGGATTTCGGCAAGTTTGAGACCAGCCTGGGCTGAGACCCTGTCCCAGCCCCCTCCCCAGTAACCAATAAGCTGATCATCATTCAACCAAAACCAGATGAAAAAGAGCTTTTCTTCTGGGAGGGGTCAGGAGAGGGTCACAGAGTATGATAATGACTCACAAGAGCCAACTGCCGAAATTCCAGGAATTTTGTGACCCAGTTCACACCGTTTTGGTAGTCTGAAACTGCCAGGGTACAGAATGGCACAGACCATTAAATATTTACCAGCACCCCGAAGGCTGTCGTAGACCAGTAGACAGGCTGCTGAAGCTCTTCTAGGAAGCTTTTATTAAGCAAACAAAATACGGCAAATGTCCGGCTCTGCTGCCCACATTCCCCAGTGTCATTTTCAGAGGTGATGTAGCTGCAGTGGGAGAACGTGCCTTATATAAATGTTTATTTTCCCTTGGCCAAGTTTTCAACCACAGCTTTGAAACTTATGTAACATGGCAAGCTGAACCGTATCAAATTCATGTTTTTACAGGTCAATGAAATAACAGCAAGTTCATGTAGTTCCACCCAAGTACATCTGCCATCCAGGCCTAGTGCTGCCCTCAGCTGGAACTCGGGCCCCTCTGCTTTTGTGGCCATTGCCTTCCCGCTCTCCCTCTTGACCTGAACATGCTCTTGGCCATCTCCACACTGAACCCTCTGTGTGTGTCCCTAGGCAGGCAGCTCCCCATGGCCCAGGTGGTATGCACTGTGCTATTCGCAATGTTTGTTCCACATTGAGCCTCCTGTCCTCCTGTGTTGTGTAGCCCGTTTGTGGCTGCTGCGTAATTTGCTAGATACACATAATTTCCTTAATCCTTGCCCTGATGGACTCGGAGGTAACAGGACATTTTTTACTATTCGGCCCCGCTGCTGGGCTGAGTAGAGGTCAGGGGCAGAGCCCATACCCAGCATGCAGAGCCCTGGGGCTAAGCTCCCAAAAAAGAAACAAAACCCCAAACCAAAATCCTCTGCAACATTTTTGAATATCTTCTTGAGCATACGTGCAGCAAGATTTTAATTCCGCATTCCTTCAGTTTAGAGAGGTTTTTTTCTCCCCATTTTATGGGGCTTTCTTTTGGGTGAACTGGATTATCTTTAGTCACTTTTTAATGACTGACTTTCTCTAATTTATAAGACTACTTAGTATATTTTAGATACTAATCCTCAACCGGTCATATGAATTTGCAAGGATTTTCTCCTAGTCAGTGAACTGCTGAAGACAAAACATTTTTACAGTGGCATTTTAACATATCTCAACAGTTAGCAATTCTAGCCTTATGCCTGTTTGTATAAAATTTTATTGGAATTTAGCTGTATCCATTCGTTCATCTCTAGCTGCTTTTAGTAGAAGTGAGTAGTTAAGGCAGAGACCACAGGACTTGCAAAGCCTAAAATATTTAGTATCTGGCTCTTTACAAGTTTGGTGATTCCTAGTCTCTCCTAAAGTAATCTACTTATTATTCTAATTTTAGACAGATATGGTTATTTCCCTCTTTTATTTATTTATATATTTTTTGGTTATTTCCCTCTTAATTAAGAAACTCGGGGGCTGGGGATTTAGCACAGTGGCACCACCCCTGCCTGGCAAGTGCAAGGTCCTGAGTTCAATCCCTGGTACTGGGGAAAAAACAAAAACAAACAAAAAAAAGAAACTCAATGAGAATCTTTAAGACTAAACTGTTGGCCAGGGATTTAGCTCAGTGGTTCCACTGCCTTGCAACTACAAGGACCTGAGTTCGATCCCTGGTACCAAAAAAAAAAAAAAAAAAAAAAAGACTAAACTGTCAGCTTTTCAGAAATGGAATTCTGCACCTGGAATCCCAGCACTCGGGAGGCTGAGGCAGATGGATTGCCCTGAGTTTGAGGCCAGCCTGAACTATAGAGCAAGACCTTGTCTCAAAACTACCAAAAACCAAACCAAAACAAATGGAATTCTGGGTCAAACTGCAGGGAAAAAAAAAAATTAACATTTTTGAGATATCTTACAAAGTGCTTTCTAGAAAGCTGCTTCCCACCTACCCCAGGAGGTCTTCTCTGAATAGCACCAAACACTATTAAAAATTATTCCTAAATTTAATCACTCATGATAGATCAAAAAATAAAATTTTCTTGGGCCAGGGATTTAGCTCAGTGGTTTCACCGCCTGCTGTGCAAGCATAAGGACCCGAGTTCGATCCCCGGTACCAAAAAACACAAAAAGCAAAAAAAAAAAAAATTTCTTAAAATTATATGAGTATCAATTTCCTCTAATTTTAATACTTTATTACTTTGGTTAGTCTTCATACTTTTATATTTTTTTCTAGAAAAATGATTTACCATATCTCCTAGACTTAGCCTCTTCATCCTCAGAATATCAGAACCAGTTCAACAGGTGACACTACAGAGTTCTTGAGTCATTTGTAGGAAAAGATGCACCTTGAGACCATAATGTTAAGTGACGCAAATCAGAC